ATTTGAAGTTCAACCAATCATGCACACACTTTTCAGATTGTGTGACGAGCAACAGTTGCTCGATTGTTTCTCGATTAACATCATTCTGCTCTGCTGAAACTACAGTGGTGCGTTGCTTTAAATGATGCTGCCTTAAAGAATTGTGGAACAGCATTTTCTCCTTTTCTTTCTTTATTTCACTGAAGGAGATAAGAAAGGAAGCATTGAAGCTTCTTTCCGTAGTATTTAGAGAATTCAACCTCTTATCATGGTTTCCAGATACTTCTGGGTCATTTAAGTTTCATCCAAAGTGAAAAGACTATTCAATGACAATCTAATTTCTCAATACCCTGTTCTTCCTATAGTCTAACCCCCTGCAGTTGGATTTTCTCATTGACAAATGGCTGTTTCTTGGTTTGATCAGAGTGGAGGGCATTATAGTAGATCAGGCAGATTGTCATATTGAATAGAGAGGATGAAACCAAGCAAAAAACAAATGGTCAAATGTTGTCTTATACGCAGTACTCTGATGATTAAATACGTGAAACCCATTTAAAAAAGCCATGAATGTTTTTGAGGGATTGAATTACATGTGAAGAGGAAAAAACAGCCCGTAGCTGCCGCAGCTTCTCTGGAAACTCAATGGAAGGAAATTTGCAGCAAAAGACGACAAATTAGTTTTACCTGAGAGCGAAGATGAAGGACATCTTAACCATTTTTAATAGAAATAGTAAAAGCTGAAAGCTGTCCAACATTTTCTGTGTTAAAAAGCACACACTTGCAGTTGCTGCTGCCAGCCAATGCATTTGTTCCGTTTACTCCTGCGTTGCATATAAATTGTGCTGTGGATGTTGTCTGTCCTTGTTGGAACAATTACTGTCATTCTAGGCTAATAAAAGATGATGCTGACGCTGAAGAACTTAATTTACTGTGCAGGTCTGTCTGGATCAAATTATATCAAGCACAGGAAAAAAATATTTTTCAAAACCAATAAATCCTTTCATATGAAAAGCCTCTCAAATCTCACTTAGGCTCAAAGAAATATGCTTACAAACGCTAGACTTGGTTGACATGGTTAATCTGTAATCAATTAGTGTCATCTTAAGTTTGATGTTAAGATGTAGTTGCCTTGCTTGCTGAACTTAGCATTTGTGAACATTGAATGCATTAGTGGAGATTACTGTAGAAAAATGGTGAAAAACCTACTGTGTGTAGCCGAGTTAATAAACAGCTAACTTTTCAACAGTACATTGAATTAGAAAAAAAATACTATCTATGTATTTAGGCTAAATGAATGAATGCAACATTATTCATGCTGGGTCTACAATATCTAGACTTAATGAGTTTAGGCAATTCCCAAGTGCAGGAGTTGTGCCTTAGCCTTCCAGATGCTATGTCTCATGTAGATTCTTAATTGTTAGTTTTAAGAGGAATTAAGGAGTCTATTCCACTGGCAATTAGTAAGACACTTCCACTTGGCACTGGGAATTATCTGGCTACTTACCCTGTTGATGCTTGAGGAGTTTTCACAAATTTTTACTGTTGCACTCATTGTTAATCTTTCCGATAAAAGGTAAAAACCTGAATTATAAATAATACATTTTCAATCAGAGATAGAACCAGCTGCAGGAACTTGGGAATTGTGCAGCAATAATTGTAAATTGTAGACATTCATTAGTGACTG